AAATGTAATATTTCAGGTTTTTAACATACATTTTAATTAGTATACCATAAAGTTTAACCTCCTGTTCTAATCTTCAGCCTGTCTTTTGAGAAGGGGACTTTGCAGTAGTTTATCTTCATTATGGATATTGTCTGCTGGTTCCTCTGTGCTTTCAGCAAAGATAATATGCTTAGCTCTCTCCTCTGCTTTTTAGCTCACATTTCAGTTAATGACAGAAACAATATAAGTTTGGAAGTTAACATCTTTTTTAGAGAGACTACAAGAACAACTACAAGAAACCTGAAATGATAGGTTTCGTATTAAAACTTTTGTGTTAAGACCAAATAAAATCAAGGTCTCAGAGCTTCCACTGTACTGAGCCTCATTGCTCTCTTCTCATCCTTCTTCCCTATTGTTAATTAGCAAGGATGTGAGATCAGCCAGGATACTGAGCCTCAGCAAAGCACTCCAGTTGTCCGTCCTTCCTATGTCTCTACATGACAAGTCAAGTGACATATCCCAGGCTATCGCAGCAGCAGGAGTGACCCCAAAATTCTCAGTTATATCTGCATTCCCAATTGAAGGTGCCCTCAGAGCTAGAATCTGACTGTATTTGCCCTGTGTATACTGTAATTAAAATCATGATGAAGAAATACACAGCCGTGTCATTATTGAGCTATCAGTCTTCATCCCAGCATGAGTAGTTAGTGCACACTGATGGCATTTGATGCATTAAGTCCATCTATGTTGTTATGGGCATTTAGTGTTGCTGTGCTTCTGTCTGCCCTCCTCTGGCAGGGCACTATCTGCTGCCCTCAGCCAGGACTGGCCAGGTACCTGCTGCCTGCTGGAAGGAGCAGCTTCCCAAGCTGCTGTCTCACCCTAGATGGAGTCCCAGCTCAGCAGAAGGGTGGGAAGGTGCACATTGCTCAATGCTGGCTGAGACATGGCTCATCTGGCTGCTCTGCACCAACGCTCCTGATGGCCAGCAGTTGCCCATGTGCCTGAACACTGCTGTCCTGTTTCACCCCCATTGCTGGCTTACTCAGTTGCGTTTGAGGCAAATACTTGAGTTCCTTGTGTCATGAAGCAAAGCTCTTCTAGGCATCTATGTGGTGTGACAGCTGTTCTATGCTACCCATGTAGGTACTCATTAGCCAAATATACACTCTGGCGTAAAAGATCACAGCAGCTTATTTGGCATTATTACTTATGGGTAGGTTAGATCAAAACCTGACTGCCAGCACTCAAAAACCAGAATAAAGAGAGGCAGAGATATATTGTTTTATTACATCATAAAGAAATATCTAGATTCTCCTCTAACAGGGACCACAGGCTGGAGACAGACAAGAATGAAATAGCTGGGAATAAATTTTATGTAGCTATTTTCTTTCTCCCTCAGATGTGAATGCTTATGCAAAACACATTGCTGTAGATTCACTGACAATAAAGAGGGAATCATTATACGAGTAGTCGATTCTCAGGGGAACACTTTAGCCAAAACACTCTCTGCAATAATTTCCCACATCTTAGTTGAATAAATTAATTTATGAATTTTCCATGAATATGTTCAACCGTTTCTCCCCTCATATATTTTATTGATCTCCTTATACGTTTAGCAACAAATAACAGAGCTGCTTTTCCATTTGCAGTAAAATAGTTTAGAGATGTTTATGTGGGCCTTGGGGTTCATAGTAAACAAATGCAGTTCAAACACCAGGGAGGTAGCAGAGAAACATAAAGCTGGGCAGGCTCAGCAAAGATTCAAGGCGTACCCGTTCCTACCACAAATCAGGCTGGACCCTTGAAATGAGAGGGACTTGGAACCGTGGGACTGCTTCTAATGAGTTGTGTAGAATCACTCCGAGGCACTCCATGGCTTCTGTCTGCAAAGCTTGTAATGTTCCCTTGGTATTAAAGACTGTAATATTTTGGATCACTTTTTGGATCACAAGATACCTTGTGTCTTTTTATTTTCATGAGAAAAGTAGATGTGGGCGGCAAAGTAAAGCAGACAATTTTTTTTCAGAAATACAGTTTCCATGGTTTGGGGAAAGCCAACAGGTTCCTCCTAGACAGTCAATCCAGCAGCAGAGTAGTTCAAAAACTTAATTATTGCTCCATAAGAGATTTTTCCTGGCTATTCTGCTTCTGCGTATCACTTATTTTGACTTAGACAATGTCATTTAATCCAAAATTGAGCTATTCATATGGATTATTATTGCCTGGTTTATTTCAGTGAGTAAGACCAACATCATGTGAAAAATATGACATCTTCATGTTTTTCTTTAGGAAAGGAAAAAACAACTACATAAAGTGATTAGATGTTGGAATGTAACCAGTTACTATACTAATTTAATTCTTAAAACCACGGAGTTCTTCCATCTTCCTTCCTCAACGCTGCCACCTCAGTTCTATTAATAAACAACCAAACATCCCAAAAGGGTGGAAATTCACCGTGGTTAATTGTAAGCATAAATGTACTCAGGTCTGCACTATTCTGTTCTTGAAGCTCAGATCTCATTCTTCCAATGCACATTCAGATCGTAGAGATTGCCTGTTTCAAGCAGATTATTTTTTTTTTGAGGTTTTTAGTTGTCATTTTTATAAATTATAAAGCAAGATAAGGAAAATTGTGCCTTGTTTCCAAGTATAACGCTTTCTTTCTTAACTACATATGTTAATGGGCTTGAAATAGGCCTTACCATTTTAAAGGTGGTATTTGAAGTATAATTGCTAATGCTTAGATACAAAATTTACATTTATTATGCATAATAAAATATGTAACTAATTAATGTTCTGTAAGGGATTAAATCATCAACTCCAGCTGCAGGAAGATTTATGGCTGTGTTCTCAATAACTTATTGACTATCAGAGTACACTGCAGAAAAAGAGACATCATCTTCAGGACTGTGCACTCAGTATTCTCTTTCCTCCTGGCCTCTTTTCCCTCTGATATGCTTTCTGTTGCGTTTGTGTTCTGTGCAAACAGCAAAGATTAAGGAAATGTGCTTATGGAGCAGACAGATGAAAAATAAGTACTTACATTCCTAGCAGTCTTGCAAGAAATAAGTAAAGTGCAAGTTAAGCTTGCACATGTTTGTGTCTGTCCATGCACTTTCTAAATTGGAAGGGCAGAACATCACACAGAGCATGCAACCACCAGGGTGCATTGATGTTCAGAATGTCTGGGAGATAATGTCAACAGAATAGGATGTAGGCACAGGATAATGGGCTCCTGCTGCTAGATTAAAGCCTGGGCAAAGATGAGCCCTTTCAACAAAAATAAACAGAGGCAAAGCCAAGGCATTTGCAGTATTTTCAAAGCAGGAGGCATTTATCTTGTAACAACATCCTGTTCTCTTCTCTTGGCTTCCACTGCACCAAAATAACAGAAGATGATGCTGTGATTTTGTTCGGTGGCTGTTGCTATAGGAGCTCTGGTTGCCCACTGCAGCTTCACTGGGTAACACCATGGTCTTCTGGTGTACGTCCTTTGGCCTTTAAAGAAGCTGCATGTTTCAAAACGCATTTTGTCATACTGTGTGAGCGTGCTGATCTAATTTTAAATTAAAAAGAATTAATCTGTCATAAACCTCAGATTTATCAAAGGGATTTTGCAGCCCAGCATTTCCAATTTCGCCTGGCAGGAGGCAGTCTCTGTGGGGAGGAATGCCAGCCTCGGTGCTGCAGGCACAACTCCCCCATCTATTAAAAGCCCTCAGACTCTGTTCTGGTAAAATCAGTGCTTGAAGAAGAAAAAAAATGGGATTGAATTCAGTTCATTAGGTATCAAGCCAGAGAGAACGCCTTGCACATTTTTGTTCCTGCTTCTGTGTTCTGTTCGCTTTTACTCCATTTTATTAGTACATTAGTCCAGTTTCCAGCAATCATGCTGCTGGGCACAGTCTGGGGAAAATATCCTTGAGGCAGTAGCTGCAAAGACAGCTACACGTGCACAAAGCTCTTAGAGGAAAGTCAGCTCTAAAACGTATGTAACGCAAACAGCAAAGGCTATGAATAGCCAGTATGCTGTAAATCAAGGCTTTTTAACTGGCACACTTTTGCAATATTAATTCTCCTGAATCATCTCATTCGTCCAATACTGCACATGTCCTGCTGTCCTAAATGGCCTGAATGTGGTGGTTGTCAAGAGATGCTGTAAATCCCATCTGCCAAGGTTTTAGGGAAGGGAAAGGAAACAGCAATAATATGCAGATACAGGGAACCGTACAGCTCATAGTCAGTCTTCAGTCATTTTACAATTGTATTGTATTTTTGGAGTTGATTGCATGACAGATAGCTAATTTTAGGGATGGTGCTGTTAACAGTTAGGGCAATTTATAGTCATTGTTTGGAGTCATTTAAAATTTCATCCCTGTTGAAAGAAGCAGACGTGTTGAAGGACCAGTCTCATCTGCAAGTGACTGAGTCTCACAGCTGAGCATCTTCTTTGAAGAAAGATGTTTCATTTGTTGCAAGGATTGGAACGTTTTCATGGATGTTGCTCAGACCTGGCTCACTGCTTTTAGTGGAAGCTGGGAGCTCCCAGGTCCTTGAAAGACCAAACTAAAAAGTGGCAGTGATGCCAGCTGATATACAGATGATAAAAGGCACAATACCTACCCCTTTAAAGAGCTCACACCTGAAAAATGGTGTGCAGAGGAAACACACAGGGTGCAGGAGGCTTGCATTTTCTTCCCAGCTTTGCCACCTATCCTTCAGGTGACCTGGAAGAAGTTGTTTCAAGTTTCTCTGCTGCAGATTCCATATATTTAAGTAGGGAATAATAACATTTTATGATGCACATTTAGAAATGTCGTGCAAAACACTGCATAGGAAGTAGCTATTATTGTTGTTAACTGTGATAATAAAAACAATGGCATTTTCAATAGAGATTGAAGTTTTGCAATCTGTCCAATGCCATTACTGCTAAATGCAATTTCTCATTTAATCCACAGCTGCTGCTTTTATATCTTGTCCTAATTCAAAACATATTCTTGCTTTTTTATGATTTCCAGTGCAAGTTGGAGTTTCATGCGTGCACTTCTGGCAAAACCATCACAGCTCAATGTGAAGGGCCCTGCCCCTGCCTTCCAGGACCTGAAAGTCCAAAACACAAGACAGAGAAGACTGGTGAGTTGAGTTCTTAATGCAGTTATAGTAGATGAACTAGTTCCTGCTACAGTCTCAGAAAAAAATAATAATAAATAAATAATCTTAACCAGTAGGTTTTACATGAAACATTTTTTGAGGTAAAGCTAAGGTACAACTAACACTTTTCCAAACATTGCAATGCTTTCAAACAGCTTCTGCAAAACTAACACCCACTTGACAGAGTCTCATAGGAAAACTGAGTTCTGGCTCATGATTCTCATTTTTGTGTGAAAATATTTTGAATAAAAATGTTGAATCGTTATAAAAGAAGGCAGAAAAAAATACTACTTGATGGTTCATCGCTTTGTATGTAAACTAAAAGCAAACAAAAAATTATCTGTAGTCTTTAAGTTACCCAAGAAGTAATTTAAGGTTGCATTAGGCATATGTTCACTCATATCTATTACATGGACTCTATACTCTCATTATTATCCTTATTGTTGTTAATGTTATCATTAGAAGTCAAATATGTATTAAATAGATCCATGTACCTGTGTTTATATATGAAATCGTTTTCAACAACAACAAGCACATTGCAAATGATTTTACATAAAACTGAAGGTTGGAATCTCAGCGGAAACAGATGTTTCCTCTGCCAGTTCTCCAGTGGGGTCAGTAAGCCTGGTGAGCTAATTCACTCCCTAGGGCTTTTTCAGGGGAGTAAACTGCCTTGGAGTGGCCTTATCCAAAGGCTCCTGCAAAAGAGACCAAGGGAAAGCACAAGTCCCACGGCAGCAGGACAAGTCACAGCCAGGTTCTAAGAGGCTGCCACCCTGTCACGGTGAAGGCCCTGTGGAAGCGAAAAAGTTGTTGCTTGTGGCTGTGGTTTCTTGAAATGAGGGCATCTGTGCTGGTGAGTGCACCTATGGCAGAGTACTGGTCTTGTAAGAAGTGTTGTCAAATCTCTCTCGGGAGGAGGGGTTAGAGTAGGGACAGCTGTGGGGCTGCTCTCTGTGTGGGTAGCTCCAACACTGCAGCAGCAGCTAACACAGGGTTTGCTCTGTCATGTCAGGTAACAAAACATGTTTATTTGTCTTGTGTACAACACGTGGAGTGGAAAAGAGATGAAGCTTCCACGATGATCTGTTTGACCCAACATCTCTTCGCTGTTACTCCTCTCCATTATGGACACATTCTGACAGTAGCAGAGAGAGAAACAAAAACAAAAGAAGAAGTTCAAACATTTCCTCTGGTCAGTTAAGGCTTTGTAGTACCAGCTGAAAGCGCTGATGAACCTGAATATGGTGGTCCATATTCCAGAGCCTCCAGCACAGTATCACTGGTTTTCAGATTACGCCTTTATCTGCTTTCTAGAGCAAGCAGCAGTTTTCCAGCTTAGATTTTGAAAATTCAGATTTATTCCATCGTTTGCAAATCACGGACATTGTTTTTGCATAGCTATCAGACTTAGATGAAGTATTTAGATGGCAAGGTTCTGAAATCAATATATAACTGTAATATTGCTTTATGTGGCCTGAATCTTTTGGTTACAGAACACCCACTGATAAATTGCCTTATTCATATTTTGTCTTTCTTGCAGTCCGTCAAAAACATATACTTTTCTTCTCATAAGCTGCTCTCTGTATGCCCTCTTTCTTGCCCTTATCAGAAAGAGTATCAGATTAATAAATCTTCAGTGACATTTTAAGCTTACAATTTCATTCACACAAGAGAAAAAAAGATTCTAATAACCCTTATCTTGATAAATGCAATTTGACAGGGTATACATATTCTGAAACCCAGGCTTTTGTTTTGCTTGACTCAAAACTTTAACTCCAGCCAACAAAGCATTAATTTAATGGATTGGGCGATCTGTGGAGCAACTTTCCTGAAGGCATTTTCAAGAGGCCACACTTGGGCTAACAGTACTCATGCCATTGCCCTGGTGACAGCAGCGAGGACAAGGATATTATTACATGCTTCAGTTCTGCTGTCTGCAGTGTGGCATGAAGAGAGTGCTCTGCCCCCTTGGAGGAGCACAGTCACCTGTGAAATCGTTATGAGGTGTGTATGGAAATATTCAAAACAAGACATTAGTAATCTCCTGCATCACGTGTGTGCAAAAGAGCTGCTTAGGAGTTCAATTATAGTGTCATAAGCAAGACGCTTGTACAGACATGGGAGTGACTGTGTGTGCATGCATATATGTATATGTGAAAAAAAAAAAAAAAGCAATATAATCTTTTGCTCTATCAATATCTTTTCCTTTCTGGGATTAGGTGCTGAAATCTCATTATTGCCTGTAGTTGTCCCTTGATAACCTGTTTTTGGATCATGGAGTCACGGCAGCTGGAGATTTGACTGTTTCTGTCTGAGCGACATCGAGCTTCTCATAGGCAGAAAGATTCTGTTCCTGGTGTAGATAGATAGGGATGGAGTATCCACAGGATTCATAAATAATGGCATAATTTGCACTGAAGTTTATACAGTGCTTTTTGCAAGAGTTTATCACTGTGATTCATTTGGGGTAACAGGAGGAACTGCTTCTCTCGTAAATTCATAGGAGCTCCAAAAACTCATAGCAAGTTTACTGTCAGCAATGCAGGATCCGTCACGGCATTTGGCTTTTCTTTTTAGACAGTGGCTTCACTCACCTGCAACCGATCAATTCAAAAATCTTCCCCACACATTCAGTAAGTGAAACAGCAGCAGCACCTGGCCTCATGTTTACAAATTCAGGGAGCCAATGTGAACCACACTGCTAGGGGGCAAACCTCCACGGGCTTCATTAGAGAAATGCCAGCAAAATACTTGGTCTTGAGATTCAAATAATCAATAGCAAAGGGGCTTCCTACCTTGATTTATCTTAAATTTTCCTCTGGATCTTTGAACATGCTAATAACACCAGTTAAGACTTCCTTTAACTTATTTCCTCCATCTCCTTTCTACAGACGTTATCTCTTCAGTTGGCCCACTGAGTGTGATGGAGTCTCAAACAATATTTCTGAGTTTCTCAGACTTTTAGCAAAGAGCTCCTAGACATTTCTGTGAGAAACATGAGTTAATTCTAAAGATTGGTGTCATTTTTACCCAGGTACAATTTTAGCAGTATCTGAAGAGGGATTTTTTCTTGTGTTTGTCTGCCCTTTATAGCCTGGATGCAGACAACTTTCCTCAGGTTTATAGGAGAATTATGAATTCTAATTGCCACGTTAGGTAACACACCGGATTGGTGTCCCCTGACCTCTTAATCTGGAGCTTCTGATCAGCACTTGGGTTGCTTGGTATTGTAGTGTTTTCACTAGTCTCAACACCACATTGTTCCCTTTTCCTCGTATAGTACTCTGGTATCATTAATATTGCTGAACTGAGTATAAAACCTGGTAGATTGATTTCTTATATAAAAATTTCTATAAAAGAACAATGTCGACAGTTGGAACTCTGTTTCTACTCCTTATTTAGTTGCCAGGCGTGTGAAATCCATTCAAATACAGCATAATCTTAAGTAGAAAATGACAGAGAGCTAAACCTCATGCCTCATACAGACGTGTCAGTGGAAAAATACTAAGGAGAATTACAGTGCAAATGCTTCCAGCAAAATGGAAATGCAGCTCTTAGAGCTACTGCATAAACTTTTTTTATGCCTATTATACAACAAGGTTAAATATATGTGCTTGTGAACTTCCAATTTGAAGGCAGTTCACATTAATCTTCACACATTCATTCAATCATATTCAAATATTATTCCATAATAAATTACTTTCAGAAATTAAAAATGTAAAGGAACATTTAATTTCCAGAGTACTGTAATTCTAAATGTCATGACCTTTTTTTATACGCTTGTGAATAAAATTGGCAGCAGCATCAAAGAAAAGCAATCTAAGTGTATGTGCTCAGAGGTAACAATTGACTGCAGTATCTGAGTCGTATTCCTTCTCCTCCCTAGGCTCCTTCAAAAACATCTCTGCTTTGAGGATGAAAATCAACACTAATAATCATGTTTAAAATTGGAATTCCTTTTATAATGGTAGCTGGTATTATGGAGATGTTAATAAAATAACACAAATGCTAGCAAAAGAAAACTACACCAGAGTAATTTTTAGTGGCAAATAACAATATAAGTTTTCCACCTTGAAGTCAAATCTTTGAAGAGATGGCATAATCGTGTTCTTTATTTTCATAAAATGGAATTTTAAGTCAGATGTCTTAAAGGTAGAGAACAGGACTCTGTGAGGGTACTAATAGCAGATTTTGGAAAGACAAGCTAATGCTTTCTCTCTTTTCTTTTTGAGGTCCATTTAGATTCCTTTGGTTTATCAAAACACTTGATATGCTTCATTATTCACAACAGTAACCCAGCTCTACAATACTCTACCACGTTAGCCACTGATTTCCAACTCAGCTACCCAGAGACAAAGGTTGAGCTGTAATCTGCAGTGGGGTCAGCTGCCCTTTCAGAGCAGATGTGTCCTCTTATCTAATACCACAAGATGAAAAAGGCTATAATTTTTTTTATTATTATTTTTTTTAAGACTTGTAACTGATTCTCAGTGGCACCTTAGAGACAGCACTTATTCAAGACAGTCTTGTCTGTTCATGGTTTTCCAGTACCTCTTTCCAAAAGCTCTGCAATATTAATTAGGGTTCTCATCAAGTGTAACTTCATTTGGCACTAACTGAAGCTTCTAAAACCCCTCCATAAACAAATGACAGACATCACAGGAGGAACAACCAGTTTTGGTTTTCCAGAACTTACTGGCAAGGAAATTGATTTTTTCTTTCGCAGTGTATTTATCAAAAAGGCAACGTTGTGCACCGATATGGCATGTCATGGCAAATGTGAATGCTTGGTTGCAAGAACGTGGTTCTGTCTGCTTCCTCCTCAGGTGTGTGACCCCTGTTCGTTGCATGTACTAGCAGTGTAGTAGCTCAGGCACGATGGTGATGATTTAACATTTCAGGTCTCTTTCTGACTATCCTCTCTTTTTGCATTTTCTAAAAAGTTAAGTGCTATACTCGCAACATACTGATTTTGATTT